TGGGTGCACCCCTTCTTTTAATGATGCTTTTATACGTGGTAATAAAACATGTCATTTAATTTCTTACAATATGATATAAAATTGCTACGTAATTCATTCTGAGGCTATTAAGGTTACATTAGACTTTATTTTGTTTTAGGACGTCATGTATCTGGAGGATTTATGTCATATGCACATGTAAGGTCCCGTTAATCTGAGATGGGTCAACTTATTAACTTTTTCACCCAAGATCCATCCATTTTTAGCATTAGATTCCATTAGAAATGTGTGAATCTTGGGTGAAAACATTGTAGACCCCATAATAATAATAATAATGATAATAATAAGAGGTAGAAGATATCACATGGAACATGCTACACTATTTTATTGGTTGAGTTGTTGTATATAGTGTGCCACAATGTGTAACGCTGGCCGCACACCAGGCACATTTTTGGGTGGAAAATGTCATTTCTGGAACGTTTGTTTGATTTTCTAATAGTTATTGGGGTCTAGTTGGCAATCAGTACATTGGAGTAGATATCTTGCGGCACTCCTTACCGGAATAGTGGTTAACCTGCAACGGCAGGTGGGTGCTTGCAGTGACCACGGATGGCCCCGTGAACTAACACAGAATTAGCAAAGATTGTCACCCGCACACCAAAAAGATTTCAGCAGAAGTCCATTTAATGAGAAATTGCCATTCAATTACGAACGCTTTTGGGGCCTCAAGGGGTCCCCTTCATCAGGCTCAGAATGCCATTCAATTACAAACGATTTCGGGGCCTCAAGGGGTGCCCTTCATCAGGCTCAGAATGTCATTCAATTGCAAACGATTTTGGGGCCTCAATGGGTCCCCTTCAACAGGCTCAGAATGTCATTCAATTGCAAACGATTTCGGGGCCTCAAGGGGTCCCCTTCAACAGGCTCAGAATGACATTCAATTACAAACGATTTCGGGGCCTCAATGGGTCCCCTTCATCAGACTCAAAATGTCATTCTGTAGGGGACCCCTTGAGGCCCCGAAAGAGCTTGTAATTGAATGTCATTCTGAGCCTGATGAAGGGGACCCCTTGAGGCCCCAAAAGCATTTGTAATTGAACGGCAATTTCTCATTAAATGGACTTTTGCTGAAATCTTTTTGGCGTGCCGGTGACATCTTTGCTAATTCTAATTGGCGATCATTCTCGACCCTAGTGAGGGAAAAACCAAAGGAGACAAATGTTTTTCTTGAACAGTGAATGTGGTTTTTTATTGTGGAAACACCATTCATTCCAAAATCGAATGTTAAAATCAAACCAAATTTTGAGCGATTCGTCAAGTCTCTGACGGCGTCATTGAATGTTCTGAGCAGATCTTTCTGATGGAAGTCCATAGCAGCGTATGGCCGGCTTTACTCTCAGGACGTTTCGGGTTACGTGAGGTTTTAGGAGTGCTGCGCTATTTGTTTTGCCAGTTAAACCGTCAGCAGTTTCAGTTAATTGCGGTTGTTTTACGGTGAATCATTCCCATGATACAGTTTGTATACATAACGTGCTTTCACCGACTGAGGATTGTCATCCGTGCATCATCCAAATATTTGTGATGAGAAACACCTCGAGTGCTGTTCATCTATTGTACGCGGGGTGATGGATCACGACAGTGTCACACCTTGGTCATTGTTTTGGTACTTTGTGTCTAATTCAGGATTGTGAAGAAAGATATCACATATCAGACTAATATATACAGATGACGTCCTGTGCCGATTGTGTAAGAGGGACATTACTGTACACAGGCGGCACAGCCAGGGACCGAATGTCCCCTTATCACCCAAAACATCTCCCCTCCTCCTCCAAGCATCTCCCCTTTTTTGCATAGAAAATGTTTCGTTTTAATGGCCCTTAGGATATTGAGATTGTCTAAATAATCTGATATAAGATAACTGTACACTGAGTGGCCGGATTATTATATACACTGAGTGGCCGGATTATTATATACACACCGAGTGGCCGGATTATTATATACACCGAGTGGCCGGATTATTATATACACCGAGTGGCCGGATTATTATATACACCGAGTGGCCGGATTATTATATACACCGAGTGGCCGGATTATTATATACACCGAGTGGCCGGATTATTATATACACCGAGTGGCCGGATTATTATATACACCGAGTGGCCGGATTATTATATACACTGAGTGGCCGGATTATTATATACACTGAGTGGCCGGATTATTATATACACCGAGTGGCCGGATTATTATATACACTGAGTGGCCGGATTATTATATACACTGAGTGGCCGGATTATTATGACCACCTGACGTTTGTAGGCAAATTAGCTATAATTTGGCGCTGAAGTTGCTAGAGGGCCAGACCATTATAAATAGGGAAGCGGGTTGGTTACCACGACAGTAGAAGTGATTGGGAAGATTCGGGGAAACAACGCGATGTAACAGCCTTGGAACGCGGGATGATTGTTGGCGCTCGGAGCCATGGAGCGAGTATCAGCAAAACAGCAGAATTCGTTACATGTTCAAGAGCGGCTCATTGTTAAAGTGTTTAAAGACCGGACTGTCAGCCGAAAATCTGGGTCTGAACGTGCGAATTGTGGCCGCCAGCGACTAGTCAATGTTAGGGCAGAACGGGGGAGGGGCAAGACTGGTACAAGACAACAGAAGGGTAACAGTGCCGTGTCAGATTCCTCGCATCACCTTTCATCATCTCGTGGAGTCACGGGGCGGCCCAACGAAGTACTGATGGGGGGGTATAATAATCCGGCCACTCAGTGTATGTCTTCTGATGATCAGTAACAACTGTTACTTTCCATCTTCCGCCTATAGGCACAATGCCCAATGTTAAGTCTGACCCTGAATACAGCAAGATGTGCTACAAAACATCCCTAAAAATAGATTATTGCCCTGTATAGGCAAAAGTTTGTGGACACCTGAACATCGCACCTTCATGAGCGTGTTGGACATCTCATTACAAAACCATGGCCATGGAGATGACCCCCCTCCCCCCCCCCCCCCCACACCCTCCC